CAAATCACTAGAGACTAAATAATGAAATTACAAAGTTAAAACAATACATATGCAAGCAAAGGAAGCATATATAATCTGATTAATTAGTAATCATCAAATAATCATTTTATGAATTAGATTAATATGGGAGGTGCAGGGGTGTGGGGGAGGGGCAAGGAAGCTGGATATAGCTAGGTGATGACAGAAGCATAGAGAGCACAAAGGAGTGAGATGCATAGTCCATTGCAAGTCATCCATCTGTGCTCTCTATCTTCTGTCAACAACGTATCACCACTGCCTGCTCTTTCTCTCTCCCAGTTCCCTACTCCTTACCCTAAATTTAATACTATAATATGATTAGAGATTGGAGAGTTGCAGCTATAGCAGATACTTTAAGAGACCTCCACCAATGGTCCTTATTTATAGGAGAAAAAGTAGCACCCGCCCACTGAAAAAAGAATGGTAAAAGGTAGATGCAAGTACTCCTGGGTTTCTCAACTCAGCCACAAGGTTACTATAGTACTACGAGTGATTTTTCCAATAGGTCTAAGATATTGTTATTTGCAAATTAGTATCACGATTTAATAATATTTTTTTATTTGTAAATTAAAAAATTTTATATTTGAAATTTGTGAAAGACTAGTCGATATCAATTTATTTATCTCATACCTTAGTGCAATACATTACTGTATCAAAAAAATTAAAAACACCTTGCAAAGGATAATAAAATTTCTCTTTGTGGCAGAAAAGAAAATAAACACCGCCACACAAAATTATTATTCTCTTTGATTTATAGGACGTATATTTATTTTTTGTTTATATATCCTAAAAGTGTAACATATAACTAAATCGTGGGGGAGTAAGATAAGCATCAGAATAGACTAATAATAATGTGGTTTAAATTTGCTTTTGATGAGAATCGAACCTAAGACCTCACACTTACAATATAACTAGACCGTAGTAAAAAGTGGCAACACGTGATTTTTTTTGTTTTTTTGTTTTTTTTTTTTTTTTTGAAAATAAGTACGATATCCATTAATGGGAAAGAAATCGTACAAGTCACGAGGATAAGGTGCTAGTAATGGGTTTAAGTACACATAAAATTCTCTCATAGTACATCTATAATTAATGACAGTTTCACTGTCACTCATCTACTGTCTACTTGCAACCGTTTCTCGCGAGATAAAATCTTCTCAAAAGGACAACCAGCAGTATTCTTCAATATTTGTAACTTCAAACCCCACACGGCTAAACCATGCATATCCCTGGCTATGTAGATTATTACCATTTTAGCCAGTGATAGTGACCAGATATCTTAACCAACCCACTGCATTAATATTGTAGGAACGAAGAATATACTGCAAATATATATATTTGGAAGGATAGTCTTGTTACTGGGTACTGGGTAGGGTTGAATGAGTCAGAAATCTTACTGTACTAATTATATATAGAGGATCTATATATATCTCTTTGTACTACTGATATATCCTAACAGCATATATGCAGGGAGATTTATTTGATATGCTCCCATGTGCATTAAGGATTTGCCATAATCCTTTGGGGATCATGGTTAAGTCACAACCCATATGGCTGTTGTCATGATCGTGACTCTTCCATGCATCCTAACTCTAGTTGTTATCTTTCACATCTTGGTTCTGATTAATGAATAATACATGTTATGGGAAGTAATTTTCATATGCTCATTTTTTTCTCCTACCATATCTTTATGTATTTTTGACCTTTAGTTTGAATAAAAGAAAAATCAAGAGATCGACATGCTTGAATTTAACTTGATTCCAAGAGGAAAATTCAAACAAATTAAAACTAGCTAATGCTAACTTATTCTTAATCTTATGACAGGAACCTTTAAAACTTTCCACTTTTATTTGGATCGATCCCAACCACAAGATAACCATCTAGAGGTGTAGAGGTGCATGAGTCCATTGTCACCATCACCTCGATAAATGATGAGCAATATTGTAAGAGATGTGAAATATTCACAATCTAGATAGTTCTGTGAAGTATTTATGAAAATATACAAAAGATCATATGGTTATACCATGCAAATACATGGTAAAAAAATATATTCGTGTATCCCAATCATCATAAGAAAGCGTATTTGTGCTAAGCAGTGGAGATCTAATAAGAATCTTTTCTCACATTGGCAAGATGAAGACCGCATACTACTTTGACTAGTTTCTGTTATCGTGCCTCTGTCTCGTTGAGGCATTTGTTAAGCCTCTTGCCTCCGTAGGAACTATGCTCAAGGAAAATACCAAATAGACATTACACAATTTCATATGTAATACTAGGTGCAATTGCATGCACTAGTCCTAATTGATCGACCAAGTGTGATCTCCCGTCTCAAATTATAATGATTTATTTTGTTAATGAAATAGTTTGGAGATTTAACTGAAATTTGTCCATTAAATTCTTCGGTTTTAACACAAAATTTGGGTTTAAAAGGATTTTGTCATTTCAAAATTTATTCAACCTTATGGGCCAATAGTGCTGCACGGCCGAATACCAGGCATCCATGTGTTTGCTAATTCTTTCAACTTTTATAAGCAATTTACTTTTCTAACTAATAGCAAACACATTATATCAATAAAAGAGCTCAAATACTGTATGGTCATGCAGACGCAGGACCACTGGTCCAAAATATAATATACCTAGACAATAATACAAACATATATACACATCCACAAAAGTTTCATTAAAGTGCTCATTCCATCCCACCTCATGTCACTTGAGCTAATATTCACACCCCAACTTTTTTTGTTCTTCTAATATCTCATTAATTTGCCTAAATTAGTAGTTATAGTTAGCCCCTAACCTGACAAAACATATAATATAAAGTCTCTATTTTGTTAAAAAGTAGAAGAAAGAAGTAGGAAATTGATTTATGCATACCATTTTTCTCTTTTGCTTTATTCGATTTAAAGGTCTAAAACAGATAGAGCGCGTACATATAAAAAAGGTGTAAAATCATCTCTCAAGAAGTATTCAGCTTTCCATTTGCTCAAATATATATACACAAACACACACGTGTATATATATATATATATGTATGTATTTATGTATGTTCGTGTGTATAAAACCCTAATGCCATGCAATACTATAGTCCACTTCCACATACCTCGTATTGATTGTGGAGTGTGCTTAGCTCCACGCCCATCGTAAGATTTCACAACCCTAGCTACTTCGACTTCTATCAAGTACTACATGATGTTTAATTTCCTCCAGGTAGAGTTAATAAATTCTTGGTTTAATTTAAGTGATATATATTATGTCCATCTTTGAAGTCTTTATTTCTTTTTCTTTTAGAAAAATAGTTTTTGCTCACCCTTTTTTTCTCCTATACATTTTCTTTACCCAAAAAATGAATAATTAAAAATAATATATATAGTTGGAATCAAGAGAAAGATGTAAAAAAAAAAAAAACGTGGAAATCACTTGCCTTGCCATGTGTATAATTACGAAGATTAGCCTTTTTATGTCTCAATATATAGATAGAAAATGTGAATGTGTGGGATTAGCCTTCGCGCTAGGGATAATGTGTCATTTTTGCAACTTGCCAAGAAGCATGGAGAGGAAGGTGATTTCAAAGCCTCCCTCACGTTAGGGATAAAATGTCATTTTTGCAACTTGCCAAGAAGCATGGAGAGGAAGGTGAATTCAAAGCATCCCTCAACACACAATCCTTATCCCCCTCGTCTTTATCAGAGGACCAATTAAAGGTCGACACCCACATATGGGGCGGTGCCCAATTCAGCAAATTTACCCAAAAAACAATAGTCTCCATCATAACACGTGTCGACACCCCATTCTCTAAGCTCCAATTAGGTCTCTTTCTGGCCCTAGGATGATAGTAACCCTAAAAATTTTGACAAGCCTTTGGAATCCTGCATTTTTTCTGTGTTAACAAACTGTATTTGCGAATAAGAAAAAGAAAAAAAAAAAAAAAAAGAAAAAAAAAAAAAGAAAACTAGGACCTGCCATATTTGGAGAATTGAATTATTTTTTGGAATATTTGAGTTTTCCCCTTTTGGACTGGAGGCTATGGTGATGGGAGATTTTGATTGGCCAAATGAGAGGCTCTGCATGTTCTGCCTCTCGAACATTTTAGAATCGTGCTTCAATTATTATTATTCTCTCTTATCTTTTGACCATATAATCTTGCAGTAATGTTGAATCTTTATGCGAGTATATATGTTATGTATTGCCTTAGAGGTAGCGTTTGAAGCAGGCTATGCTATCAAAAGATGCAAAAGTATCTAATTATTTTTTCATAATATTTTGCATCGTTTGATAATTATTTTATTTTTAATTTTTATTGTAAATAGAAATAAAACACGGTTAACAAAGAATCAACAAATGAGAACAAAGAAAGGGTGCTGGGATAATAGATGTGGAAAAAATGCACATAAAAATAATAACAAAAACCAAAATCAATTTTAAATCGATCTCTTTTTAAATTAAACCTTTCAAACATTACTCAAACATACTCAAGAGTTTTTTCTTTTTTTCTTTTGTTCTTTTTTATACAATACATTCTGAAAAGTAAAAGAAATAAAACAAGAATCGTTAAGAAATGGGCAAACAACATATTCCCTTTGCACAATTTATGTAAGGGTATGCTCTTGTAGAAGTTTGATCCCGTTGTATCATGTGAATGAAAAGTGATGGACTAGCATAAGTCTTTGATTTTGCAATAACAAAATATGGGCGTCCCTAGGACTGGAACTGGATCCTCTCCTAAGCAGCCCATCTGGGCCGTTGAAATTTGATCCAACGGCTCCAAACAAGAGGCCCCTCTAAAAGTTATAATAATTGCAACTGTTGGATCAAGTTTGAACGACCCGGATAGGCTACTCATGAGGATCTCCATCCTGAGCTCAGGAGAGGATCCAGTTCCCCTACGACTTAGCTAGCTACCGCACAATTTTGGTATCAGATTTCAACAAGATTTGAAGATTAATAAACGAAAAAAATACATAAGAATTTATAATTGCGTTATTTTAGAAGAAAAAGAGCCCAAGGAGTGATATTATGATGCATAAGATAATAGATGTGGAAGAGACGGCAGCAGAGACTGCAAATGCACCATTGGCCTTATGGTTTTTGGAGGCGTTCTGCTGTGGTGGTGAGTCAGTTGCACTGTGGTCTTTTGGAGATTGGTTAGGTGCACCTGCAGCAACTGGTTCCATGACTTTGATGATCATCTTCTGGCCTTTCTCACAACGTCCAGCAACCCCACTGATGAAATAGAACAAACCGGGTCGGTCCAGTATCACCACGCTGTAACCATCGTTTGAGAAGTAAAGTGGTTGATCCGAATTGCAATTTTCGTAATCGTCCTTGGTCACTACCAACAGTGAGTCCGTGTTTTTCTTGTAACTGAAGTCTGGATATATAAGAGTGATCCACATGAAAATTACAACCCAAAATATATATTACACAATACAACGGTATATAAGACACTGCACACAAAAAAAAAATATTTGAGAATAATCATTGATATTAGTTGCACAATTATTAACTACGTAGGGATATATGCCTTTTACAAACCGATTAGCTAGCCACTACTGAGAGGCCGAAAACCTACTTCATCTTGTGCAACTAATGTCTGTAGCTACTAGTCTACGACACAATAATATTGCTAAGACAATAAAATTCTTTTGGGAAAGTACTCACAGATAGTGTCATCAACCTTGAACCTTTTCTTGGAGGCCCATTGGTTGTACATATCTTGGTCAGTTTTTGATTTGGGTACCTCCCATCCATTGCTCTTGTCTCCAACTTCAAACTGAGTACAAGTTACAAAAAAGACTTGGATGCTAGAAATAAGAAAAAATAAGAGAAATACTTTGGAGGAGTCCATCGAGTACGTATGTGTAGTTTGAAATATTGTTCTCTAGCTAGCTAGATCGAGCTCTTTGCTTAATTGGAAGAATAAAATGGTAATGTGTATGAGGAAGTTAGAGCACCAAATTGACTTAAAAAGAGTGATCAACGAAGTTGATGATGAAGTTTGTTACTGAGGAAAATAGGGGTTTGTGAGGATTCTTAGGAGCCAAAGGTGGAAGTGGAGGGATTTGGATTTTGGAGGATATCCTTTTGACTTGGTGTAACAATATTTCAAATAGCAGCTGAGTCAATTTTTCTTGGGACATATGCAAGTGATTTGTAGATCCAATCATTTTAAGATGTATGGAAGTTGGTTTGTAACTGGGTTGGCTAAGAACATCCATCTATGCTAACGATGTCCTGAGTTCGAATCCCCCTTCTCGTAATTTAGATGGATTTTGGTGTGGATTATCCTATCACTTGTCCAAAATAAAATTATCTTAGGATATATACAATATATATGAATCTAAATATATAGTTATTTTAATTAAGTAAATACATTCAACAAAATGATAGATAAAGAGCCAAAAAAAATTGATTAGAGAACAGACAACGGTTTTATTATTCTAGTTGTAGATGTTGAAAGCTAATTAATCACAATAGGGTCGTCCTTTACAAAGACTAATAGTGGTGGTTCAGTGGACTACAACCAGATTTTGATACTCTTTACCAGAAATGGCTGCCTCCATGACATGGTGCGGGCCAAGTTCCCCATTGTTATCCGAGAACAACTTGAACAATTTATTGGAGAAGCCGCCGAGCGTGGCCACCCCTGGCCCCCTACAAGGCACCACAGGAGTCCCCCATGCTTCAAGCTCCCAAAACACAATCTGTGGCACTGCATCACCGTACCCTTTCTCCTTATACTTGTTTTGTATAGCTTCGTAATCAGACTCCCAAAAACTAAAGTGTTAGCCCAAGCGCGACCAAAACATTTGTAGTCGGTCAACACAAACACCTTCTTGATCATCTGATCTGGCCTCAAATTTTCATTTACTGCCACTTGGAGAATTAAATCAAACACCTTGTGAAAATCGACTTCCCCGCCGCAATCCATCCTCCTCACAAACTCACACTTGGACTTAAGATCATTGTCTTCGCCACCCTCTAGTGTAGCCAAACTATGAAGCTTGGGATTTGGACTGAAATTGATCACCTTTCCTTTCCATGGCTCTTCACTCAGTTGAGACACCAACACTGCCAAAGCCACGAACACATCACTGTAGAGCTTGGCCACGAAAGGCGAGACGTCACAAACAACCACGCAGTTTTTGAACTTGCCGTGCTTTGAGTAGGTATCTTCCACCATCGTCTTCCACTGAAGCTAAGCCGCTTTCCCGACCTTTCCATCATTTGCATATTCTACAATCTCATGTGGAAGCAAAGCAGCGGCCTCAATATTCTTCGAGTTTGCTTTCACCTCCTCCAAATACTTTTTATTATCACAGCCCTTTGGCTGGTGATGCGAAGGTGCTTCATACGCCAAGTACTTATTCAAGGGAACCAAGACCTCCTTCCTGAGACGATCTCGGACTACGGACAAGTAACGGGCCTCCTCGAGCCCTTGGTAGTCTGGGTACGATTCTCGCGGAAAAACCGTCTTTGCAATGCTTTCGCACAGTCGAATGGTGCGTTCCACGGAGGAGCCCATATTAATTAGAAGGGAAACAATCGTAGTAACTGTTAGTATGTAAGTTGTTGAGCTGATTAGAAAACATTACAAGATTGTTATGTGTGTTATGTCTCAGCTCATAGGCTGAGCTATTGTGTAAAATTGTGATGTGTTGATTAAGTCTCATAGGGCTTATCATTTGACAAGTGTCTTGATCTTAAGATAGGTTGTAATGGTTGGTTGAGATTGAATTGAGGTTATGTCTCTCTCTCTCTCATTTTTTCATCAGTTAAGTGACTCTTCGGGCTATCATGCTCAGTAAGAAATACAATGATAGAAGTTCAAGAGTTATGCTCTGTGTGTGTGTTCTTCCTCTGAATTCATCTTCTAAACTTTTCTAAATATCTCTCTCAAATCCTGTTAGACTTATTTATGTAGTTGTGTTACTGAATTCTAACATGGCCTCAGAGCCGAGTTCGATCTAAACTTTTGGGCGTTGTTTCTACGAGTGGGTGAGCTCGGATTCACAGCAAAAGCTTATTGCAGTGATTCGAGTGTCTAATATGGCTGGATCTGGAGGAGGAGAACTCCGGGCCCCAATTTTCAATGGCGAGAATTTTGATTTCTGGCAAATCAAAATGAAGACCATCTTTCGCTCGTATGAACTGTGGAATATGGTTGAGAGTGGGTACAGAGCTCCGGCGAAGGAGGAGGAACTCACAGAGGCGGAGAGGAAGGTGCTTCGTGAGAATGTAGTTAAGGATGCTAGAGCACTGGGTATTATTCAAGGTGCAGTTTCAGATCAAATTTTCCCGAGGATTGCAACTCAGGAAAGTGCGAAGGCTGCGTGGGACATTCTGAAACAAGAGTTCGTTGGTGATAAACAAGTAAGGTCTGTGAAACTTCAAGGTCTTAGGCGAGATTTTGAATATACTCGCATGAATGATAGTGAATCTCTTTCTGTGTATATTGCTAAATTGTTTGATCTGATTAATCAAATGAAGAGCTATGGTGAAGATCTGAGTAATCAAAGAGTTGTTCAGAAATTGTTAATCAGTTTACCTAAGTCCTATGATAGTATTGCAGCTGTGATAAAGAATACTAAGGATTTAGACACCATAGATGCACAGGATGTTGTAGCTATCTTGAAGGGGTATGAACAAAGGTTGGATAGACATGGAGAGAGTAGTATGGAGAAAGCATTTACTAGTTTGAAATTTGTCCCGAAGTCTAATAAGTTCAGTGGTCAGCCAAACAGTAACAAATATCACAAGAATTTTAAGCCAAAAGAGAAACAATGGAGTAACAAGGGTGATTGGAGTAATAAGGGTGGATTCACTGTGAAGAATGAGGCAAACAACACTGGGGATAAGTGTAAATTCTGTGATAAACTTCAATATGGAGAGTGTTGGGTTAAAAACAAAGTCAAGTGTCACAAGTGCAACAAAATTGGGCATATTGCAAGGTATTGTAATATGAACAAGACTGTGCAACATGTGAACTTTGCTAATCAGGTTGAAGAAACTGGAAATTTGTTTTATGCAAATCATTCCGGAGAAGTGAGGAAGATAAGTGATGAATGGTATATAGATAGTGGATGTAGTAACCATATGACATCCAGAGAAGATCTACTTGTTGATATTGACAGGAAAGTGAAAGCAAAAGTCCAAGTTGGCACTGGAGTTTTGGTTGAAGTTGAAGGGAAGGGAACACTGATCATTGAAACAATAAAGGGTCGAAGGTATATAAAAGAAGTTATGCTTGTACCTGGTCTTGCAAAAAATTTGTTAAGTGTGGGACAAATGACTGAGCACGGTTACTTTCTTTTATTTGGAGATTATAAAGTGGATGTGTTCGATGATAGATCCTTACAAAACCTGGTGGTCAGTGTGAAGCAGAAAGGAAATAGATGTTTTCCTTTAATTCTCAACACAAACAAGGAGCTTGCATTGAGGACAAATGTGCAAGAGTGTGTTAGAATTTGGCACAAGAGGTTTGGTCACCTAAATTTCAGAAGTCTCAAACTATTACAGAGTCAAGAGATGGTTTTGGGGCTGCCTGAAATCCAAGACAGTGAAATTGTATGTCAAAGTTGTGCACTGGGGAAAAATCACAGGGAACCATTTCCCAAAGAATCAATGTGGAGAGCAAAGGAACCACTTGAACTAATACACTCAAATGTGTGTGGTCTCATGCAAACATCAAGTTTGAGTGGCAAACGATACTTTATTGCCTTCATAGATGATTATTCAAGAATGTGCTGGGTATATTTCTTGAGAAACAAATCAGAGGCTTTCTATGTGTTTAAGAAATTTAAAGCCATGGTTGAGCTTCAAAGTGGATACCATGTAAAGAAGCTAAGAACAGATAGAGGAAGAGAGTTTAACTCAAATGAGTTTGGAAAATTTTGTGAAGATTTGGGGATAGAAAGACAGCTCACAATTGCATACTCTCCACAGCAAAATGGAGTAGCATAAAGGAAAAACAGTACAATTGTGGAGATGGCAAAATGCATGATCTTTGAGAAAGAACTCCCATACAATCTCTGGTGTGAAGCAGTAAACACATATGTGTATCTGCTAAACAGGAGTCCTACAAAAGCAGTGAAGAATACTACACCTTTTGAGAAATTTAGTGGAAGAAAACCTAGGGTTAAACACTTGAAAGTGTTTGGTTCAGTTTGTTATTCTCTTATTCCAGGGAATCTAAGACACAAATTAGAAGAAACAAGTGTCATGGGTGTTTTCATTGGATACGGTACTTGTGAAAAGGGGTATAGGGTACTGAATCCTTTAACTCAAAAGGTCTTGTTATCTAGGGATGTAATTTTTTATGAGAATGGTAAATGGGACTGGGAAACACAAAGTCAAGGAAGTTTGTATTCCTTTATCTGCAGTTGAATCTTTAGAGTTGGATAAAATTGATGAGATGTCTGAATCTCATGAACAAGAAGGATCTGATGGGTCTCAAATTCAAGCTGGAAGTTCTCCAGTTACTGCTATTGGTGAATCAAGTAGCTCACTGGTCTCATCTCAGTATGATAATACTCCACTGAGGTATAGGAACTTGAGCGAAATCTACGAGAGATGCCACTTATGTATTGTTGAACCTGAATCCTTTGATGAAGCTGCACAGGATGAAGCTTGGAAAAAGGCAATGAAGGATGAAATGAATATGATCGAGAAAAATCAGACATGGGAGTTGGTGAGAAGACCCTCAAATAAGCCTGTGATTGGGGTAAAATGGGTGTATAAAACAAAGCTGAATTTGGATGGAACAGTTCAAAAGAACAAGGCTAGACTTGTTGCAAAAGGCTATGCACAAAAGCCCGGAATTGATTTTAATGAGACTTTTGCACCTGT